TTAAAGGATATATGTCAAGATTTCTCTTAATTTAAGGGAAATGAGACAAATATCTTTTAAAAGTGTATGAGTAAGAATTTTTTTCTTGATTTATCATTCAAATCTAAGGGCTCATTTAGTTTGAGGACTTGAACATAATTTTGATTATGCTCTCTCACAAAAAATTTGAATAAAAAAAGTTACAAATTTTCTCACAAAATTTGAATTTAAAATCAAAATTATTGACTTAAACACATGAACCAAACAAGCCATAAAAAACATCATTGTTAAGGTCTCGTTCATTTCACCGATTCGAGTTTTTAGTTCTAAGTTTTTATAATTAAAAGCTCTCAGAAAATGTCGCATTTAATTTTTTCTACTACAGTTAAAAGTTCTCAGAAAATATTAAATCTTAACTCGAATTGAAAATTTAAATCCACGAAACGAACGAGACCTAAGTCATTCAAAATAGATTTTTGACTATAAATTATCCAGTTAAGTTTCTTATATAAAAGTTTGACTGATTGGTTCTGACTTCCTTGTTATGCATGGATTGTTAGTTTATTAGAAAGTGAGGAAAAGACAGCTTCCACATAAAAATATTTATTCCTTGTCATTTTTATTGGTGAAATGTATTTTCACCCTTTGCATGACCCAACAAAAATGTGTTAAACACTTCATGTGAATTAGTTGAACCTATTTTTTTCACCGAATTGAATTTCTTGATAATGGAAAAGGCAGTTATAGATCATGATTGTTATAATCTACCAAATTCATTTTTTCTATCTTCGCTTTTTTGGTGGGTTTAAATCTACCGCACGCAATAATGTCTCTATCTGCACGCTCATAATTTTCTTATTTGATTGATTTTGTAGGAACCAAATTTCCAGTATCTATCCGTGGCAAATCAATTATCCTTTTTTCTAGTTTCAAAATAGGCATTCGCTTTTTTCCTAATGTCAAGCTCCTTTTAGCCGTCAAATTATATTAAAATTATATATTTTATATATATTTTTAATTTGATGTGATTTAATTTAACTTAATAGTTAAAAATTACACTATTAATAGGTTTAGTCTACAGAAAAAATCAAAAAAAAAAAAAAAAAAAAGCTACCAAGTGAAGTCTATTCATGATTAGTCCCCCTAAACTTCTTTTGATTGATGATGATCATTGGGTGAATTTGGTCTGTTTTCATTTTTTACGTTTTGCAAGACAAAAAGTAAAGATTGAGGAGGAAAACGTGTTTGGAGGAAAAATGATGAAAAAATAAAAATAAAAACGGTTTTCAGTTTAGTGTAAAATAACTTAAAAATTGAAAATGAATTTAAATCGCTTATTATTTTTTTTATTTTGGAGGAAAACGTGTTTGGAGGAAAAAATGTGAAAAAATGAAAACAATAAAGGTTTTTAGTTTAGTGTAAAATGACTTAAAAATTGAAAATAAATTTAAGTCTTTTTTTTTTTTGGGTTGATGCCTTTTCTTTGGGCTTAAATAGACTAACGAATTGCTCTTAAAATTACTGTATGGTTGGCTTCCTCTAATATGCTATATTGACGACCGTAGACTTAAAAAAATTAAAAATAAAAATTATATAACCAAATGGAGTTTCAGTTTTTTCTTATACTAAAAATAATCTCTTAATAAAACTACCAAACGCATTTTTGTCTGAGATTGAAAACGTTTTCATTTTCAGTTTCATGCAAAAATCAGAATCATTTTGGAACTAATTCCAAACGCACCCTAAAATTAAAAGGAGCTTTCTACTAGGTATTTGTATGGATAATCTATGTTTCAAAACATTAAATCTCATCAAAATCAAATTAAAATAAAAAAATTGCATAAAACTAATCATTCTTGGTACAAATTCAACGGTTTAAAAATATAATCCTCCCAGTAGGTTATTTTTTGAGTAATTATTTCTTTATTTTCAAACATGAAGGTCTTATTGTTTTGAGTGTAAAGTGAACATTTGTTAAGATAGAATTCATCTTTATTTATCTATTTTTTTCCTCTCTCGGATAACATATTTTATAATTTTATTCTTGCTATTTTAGTTCGTTGATTTGAGTTTTTAATTCGAGTTGAGATATAACTTTATGTGAGAGCTTTAAAACCCGTTCATTTCACCGATTCGAGTTTAAAATTTGAGTTTTGTTACAGTAAAATGCTCTCAGAAGCAATCACATATAATTTTTTTGCTACAGTAAAAAGTTCTCACATAAACTCACATCTCAACTTGAATTAAAAACTCAAATCAGCGAACTAAACGGCCCTTTAGACTATAGCAAAAAAGTTTAATATGACTGTTTCTGAGAGTTTTTTACTGTAACAAAATTTGAATTCTAAACTCGAATCGGTGAAAAGAACATAGAAATGGGAATATTAACTGTACAGTCTTTGAAACATATCATGATTCATACATACATTCAGCAGTAAAGAGTGGAGTTTCAATTCCCTATTTTCAAGTTAAAAAAGGCAACATTTTCAAGCGAAAAAAAAAACGTTTTTTCACGGTACATTTTAAAATTGCGATCCGTTGATAGAGTAAGTGTTTTTACTGTTATATTAATTTTTTAACGATCAGATCTGCAGCAAAAACAATTCTGTATGGTGCGTTGTAAATTTTTAATATGAGCCTGATATGACTGTTAAATAGTAATGAGACGTTTGGTTCATGAGTTCAGAACTATAATTAATGATTCTAATTTTTGAAATTTAAATTTTTTATGAGAGAAAAATATTGTAGATAATCAAGAATCATAATTTAAAACTAAAAACGAACTCTTGAAACAAACATCTCATTAATCTAATAGTTAAAAATATTTGCTCGGTCACAAATAGGAGATACCATGTAAAGTTTCCCAAAGGAAAAAAAAAGTTATAAAGGCAACAAATAAATCTTACAAAAGGAAAAATTAAATTAATTGTCACATCAACGGTGACTAAAATATCATAAAAAAAAAACTAATGATAATCTTCTTCATTTTCATAAAAGATGGCAACTAATTAATAAAGCTTGAGACGTAGAGAATTGTAACTTCACTGTCATTAATGAGTAGTATACATCAAGCAATCCCCCAATCCCTCTAATAATTGACCTTTGGATTAATTTGGTATGATGTGGTCCAAACTCCAAATTAATTTAGCAAAAGTTGTTTTCATCCCCCAACTCTTTTCTTCACAGAATCACAGGGGAGGACCCATTCATATATACTACAACATATATAGGCCTGTTAAGGACCATATCATTTGAAGGGAGGGACGTCCTATGTACTCACGTCCATAAATTCTAGTGTGCGTCCGTAAATGGGGGGATTTTCTGGTACTAGTATGTTAGATTTTTTAATTGTTAAATTTACATATTTTTTAAATTTTTATGTGATTTTATACGGATGTAATAAATAAAAAACTTAACAAAAAAAAGTCTCTCTAAATATCAAATCATATTATAATAAAAAAAATTGACTCATCCTAGACGTTCAAGAAAAAAAAATATCAGACCAATTGAAACCGCCTGAAGAGGTGCATAGTTTGATTGACCGAATCATGCTATCACAAAGCAACTTAATCGTGATTTATTGGTAATTAGTGGTTAATTTGAAATTGTGGAGCTGAACAGAATCAGCCTCCATTTTTTCTACTTTAGCAAGCTATTTTACTCTAATGCTGGGGAGTGTATTTTTACTGTTAGATTAATGTTTCAACATCTAGATACGCAAGAATAACAATTTTGTATGGCGTGATGTAAAATTTTAATACGGGCATGCATAGATTTAACCATTAAAAAATTAATTCAATAGTTAAAAATAATTATCCTACCAATAGAGTAAAATAGCTTACTCCACCGTAAAGATTCCCTTAAAATTATAGGAAAAACACAGTTTTTTCTTCTCATTTTCTTTCAATCAGTGTTTGGTCAATTTTATCCCTATTCGATTTGTTTTTGACATTTTTTTAGACTGACTGAAGAATTCTCTAAGACCATCTCTAATGTAAATGTTAATATTGTTTGTAAATTTAACAGCAAAACGTATGATATAGTATGTTATATTTATTTTTTTCTCTGGTGTATAAAGCTATTTGAAATGTTAAATTTACTTTTTGATATGATTATTAAGTTTTAAAAGTTGTAAAAGTAAACTTTTATTTTTAAAATAATTAGAAAATATAAAGGTTGCAATGATTGTATGAAAAGGTAAATATATCAACTAATAACAATTAAATGTCAAATTTTTCATATGCTATACTTTAATGAGAAATTTGTCACAAAATATAGTATGAGATATTTAACATAATAAATAGCATTTAATTGAAGACTATTTTTTATACTCAAATGTTAACTTTGTAATTAATACATTAGTTATAATATTGCATTAAAAATGCTGCAAAGTTTAAATGTGAGAGTCAAATAAATGGTGAAATTATAGTAAGCAACCATGTTTATTGAAAACTTCAAAGTCCTCATTTTTAGAACAGCACCATACCCAATATAATTTAGTCACATATGCGGATCCACATTTTGCGGGACTTAATTGCGAGTCATAAGTGATGTTGAGTATCACAACTCATATAGATTAGACTCATTTGTGAGTCTTATATTAATGAAAAATATTTAAAGACATTATCAGTGTCAAGTAACATCAATTCATTACTAACAGAAAATAGATTTTATTTGTGAGTATTATATTAGGAGACTTACTTTTTATAAGTGGGTGATACTTAATATTATTAGTATCGTATAATATTGTTTAATATTATCAGTATCCTATAATATTGTTTAATATTAACATGACTTATTTTTTATTAGTGGGTGGATGGTGCTAATGTCCTCTAATACTCTTGTTGCTCATTGTTACACTACATTAAGGTGAGGAAGCTCACACGGTAGCAAGACCCAAGAGCCAAACAGAGAGAGAGAGAGAGAGAGAGAGAGAGAGGGACACGAGAAAGGGCCTCAAAGTCTCTCTCTCTTTTCTTGTGCTCTCCATTTCGTATACAGCCAACCAAAAGGCAAAAACATTATACAACAATTTTCACCCAAAAAGAGTCCACGAGAAAGCTGAAAATAAAATAAACGAGTAAAGTTGTGACTCAGTCCAAAGACTTTGTGTACACCCTCTGCATTTCTGAAGGGAATATCTGCACGCCATTGCAGCATCGCTTTCTAAGCTCATTCTCAGGTACTCTTTTTCCAAGTTTTTAGTCTCTACCCAGTTCGTTTTATTGAAAACCCAGATGAGAAATTTCCTGTTCTTCAGTTTTTCATCGTTCTTTGTTTTGTTCATTCCTTGTCGTAGACAGTTTCTGGATTTGTTTTTCATGGCTTAATGTTGTGGAAGACGTACTTCATTGGGGTGTTCTGGTTTTATTTCTTTGCAGATTTTGCAAATTGCTTAGGGGATTGATTAACTCGTAAAGAGAGGGCCTTTTTTATTGTATAGATTTCGGATTGCCAGAAAATCAAAGATTATTTGTACGGCATCTTCAGAAAATCATAACCCATATGGATGTCTTTTGGAATTGATTGTTATATTTCTCTAGGAAGTTGGAGTGGTGACATTGTGTAAAAGAGCCACCATGAATTGTTTCTCAATACTCAATAGGAATGCAGATTTTGTTATCAATTTTGGGGAGGTACATTAATAGGTTTTTATGTTGCCCTTTAATCTATAACCTAGAAATATTTTTAGCCTTTTGCTATATCTGTTGAAGTAGCCAAAAGTAAAGAGAGTTTGGTTTCTCTTAGTTTTATTTATCAATGTCAGAAAAGAGCAGGCTTCCCTCAAGGTTCCATTTCTATTTGATAACCATTTCCTTGTTCCTTTTAGTCCTATCTTCGGTTTTCCTTCTTCAATTCAGAAATGCTCCTTTGATACCCAAATCAGTGTTTGAGCTAATTCTTGTCAATACCACCTCACTTTACTCAAACGCCAATGTTGGAGAAGAGCATATTGAGACTTCACAAGTTGTTGCCGAAAGACCCTCGAATAGTAAAGAGCCACCTTTTCCACTTTCCAATAATTTGACAAAGAAAGCAAGTTCTTTCATAAGGCAGAAACTGATGGCGTGTGACCCAACTCAGGCGCGCTTGAGAGTGTATATGTATGACTTGCCTCCCGAATTTCACTTTGGATTATTGGGTTGGAAGGGGAAGAGGAATCAAACATGGCCAAGTGTGAACGACCCGAGTCAGATCCCGGCTTATCCCGGCGGGCTGAATTTACAGCATAGTATTGAGTATTGGCTCACTCTTGATCTTCTGTCATCGAACGTTCCGAAAATTTCCAGGCCTTGCACTGCAATCAGGGTGAAGAATTCGAGCCAGGCGGATATTATTTTTGTGCCATTTTTCGCGTCTTTGAGTTACAACCGGCATTCTAAGCTTCGTGGAAAGGAAAAAGTTAGTGTGAACAAGAGGTTGCAGGAACAATTGGTGCAGTTTTTGACGAGTCGCCAGGAATGGAAAAGACATAATGGAAAAAACCATGTAATAGTTGCTCACCATCCAAATAGCATGTTGGACGCAAGAAGAAAGTTGGGTTCTGCTATGTTTGTTCTCGCAGATTTTGGAAGATACCCAGTTGAAATAGCAAATCTTGATAAGGATATAATTGCGCCTTACAGGCACCTAGTCACTACTGTTCGCAGCAATCAATCAGCCTCATTTCTGGAACGTCCTATATTGGCTTACTTTAAGGGAGCAATATACAGGAAAGACGTGAGTTTCTTTGATTTTCTTTTGCATTATGAATATTCAAGTGTTTTTCTTTCAATGCACTGTGGATCCCAATACAAGTCTTTATTTTTGCCTTTATTTGTTACACATACTTTTCTCTATGGCCCTGTTTCACTTGATAGTTTTGGGAAAGATGTTGATAAGAATCTATGGTGATACTAGTGGTGATTATCTGATCCTGTACTCAATTGAATGTTAGGAGTTAAGTTTCAATTTGTTTGTCATAACCTTGGGAAGATTTAGAAATGAGGAATGAAATTAGATTTGGATGATGAAACAAAACCATTTTGATTTAATAGTGCTTGATCCCAAAAACATGAATGTAGGACAAGCATAAAAATTGAGAATTTAGTGTGTAATATCATATGTTGAAAAGACAACTTCTATTTCTGTTATTATTATGGCTGCACAATAATTCACCATATGTTAATTTTCTCAAGGTTTTGACGTCTTATAATTCATTTTTGCTGGAGTTTCTTTCGTTAAAAGCTGCTCTTTGCTGCTTTCTTTTCCACTGCCAACAATGTGCTAGAAACCAGATGACATCCATACACTAGAAGAACTAAATTTTATTTTCAGGGAGGAGTAATACGCCAAGAACTATTCTATCTTCTCAAGGATGAGAAAGATGTACACTTTAATTTTGGTAGCATTCGAGGGAATGGTATCAACCAGGCAGGCCAGGGAATGGCATCCTCAAAGTTTTGCCTGCATATTGCTGGCGACACCCCTTCCTCGAACAGGCTATTTGATGCCATTGCCAGTCACTGTGTTCCTGTGATAATCAGTGATGACATTGAGCTACCATTTGAAGATGTCTTGGACTACACACAGTTTTGCATATTCGTTCCCGCACCCGATGCTATTCAGAAGGGATACCTATTGAATCTTCTTCGAGGAATTGAGCAAGACAAGTGGACCAAGATGTGGGAAAGGTTAAAAGAAATCACACATCTCTTCGAATATCAGTATCCATCCCAGTCTGGTGATGCTGTAGATATGATTTGGGAGGCAGTTTCCCGTAAGGTTTCTTCCATACGGTACGATAGTAACAGGAACAATAGATACAACAGATCTAGGCCAAGAACACTAGTATAATCACCCACATAAAAGATTTGACTCAATGAGATCTCTCGAAGTCATGGCATTTGGATATCATCAAGCATTTTGGCTGACGGTAGGCATATAGAGAGAGATACAAGCCAAGTTGAGATCTATTATGGATTTGCTTTGATATGATTTTTCAAAGAATTCATGACCACTTGTGGTACTATTTAGTTTACATTGTTAAGCCTTTTTGTATCTCTCTTTGTTAAATTCTTTTTTATTTATTTGTTTCTGCTGATTTAGTTGATATGGAAGTTGGATGAAGGACCAATTAACTGCCTTTACATTCCCCTTTATCACCTTAAAAGCTAAAGCAGTACAGAATTGGAACTCTGATCAGAAATGTGTTTGAATAAGCAAAACCTTCAAGCTGGTGACAAATTGTTCTAGAGTTCACTCTTTCTATGCAAAATAACAACAAAAGATGGGAAAACAGACATAGTACAGGTAAGACAAAGCGGACAAGTTCTTTCTTAAGAGGAAAAAGAAACCAAAAAAAAAAAAAAAAAAAAAAAAAAAAAAAAAAAAAAAAAAACATCAATTTGCTGAGAAGAAAAGAAAAGAACTATGATTTGTAAGTGAGGACCAGCTTCATCATGCTCAAAAGTATTCAGCTATTGGTTAGGACCTAAAAGTTTATACAATATATAATGATGAACACCAGGCTCACAGATGGAATTTTTTTTTTTTTTTCAGCAGCTCAACAAAAACCTTTGACTAAAAATTTAAAAAAAAAAAATTAAAAAAAACTATATATAACTCTAACCAACCCTTTTTTAAAGAAACAATCAGGAAGCAGAGAAATGCCATGCCTCCTTCATAGTGCTCTAACGCATCAACTACAGCCACAACAAGCCTCCTTTTGCCTGAAACTCCTTTTCTTTCTTCTCTCCATTTAAACTTGCATTAGATATGTCAGCACCTGTTGTGAATTGGATCCGACCCTCTTCGCACTCTTCGCTTGTTCGATTGATTTGGATCGAATGTCATCGAAGGTGCGGGCGCCAAATCCAGCTTCCTTTCCAAATCCTCTAGAGCAACAGACTTGAAGAAATGCACATCACCAAGAAATGGTAACTTGGCCTTGTCCCATCTGAGGGCCAAATCTTTGCTTCTCAGGGCAGACACATTTTGCGGTCGAAGAGCGAAAACCACAACACAAAAAAGAAGAAGAGGAAGAGGTGATACCCTATAAGCCAAAAGGCCCATTCTTGTGTTTTTGAGGGACAGAATGACAGAATTAAGAGGTACAATAACTCTTGTGCATTCAAGCAATGATGAGAGAATGAGTTTTGTTGTGTCTTGTGCGTGTTTTTGTCTATGGATAAAACTTTGTTTCCCTCTTGTTTTGTGGTTCCATTCCTGTGAGAACAAGCCAAGTTTATGTCTTTTATGGGATTTGGAAGACTAGAAAAGCATAAATAAAGCAAAATTCAATAAGGGTGGTAGGGCCCAACAAAAAACATGCAGGGAACTTTCAGATTCACCTCAATCATAAGCCTGCCATGGAAGCAATATAAGGCTGTTTTAGAAGACTCTTTCTGACAGGTTTGAATGAAAAGTTGGTTTTGGAACGCTATCCTTGGGAAGCCAAGTATCTTTTAGGTTTGGTTCCCCCCACATATCTCCATCATTTGCATTAGGCTCTTTTTTACCAAATAAAGACCAAACCCCTGCCACGTCAGATCATGTTGCTGACGTGTAACTCAGCATATCCTCAAAACACATATGATAAATTGCTTTTTTGGTTATGTTTTGGCTTTGCAGAATCTATACAGCTAGTTTTGCTTATCAAGTTATATTCTTCCCATAAAAAAAAGTGAAAAGAAGGAAAGAAAACGGCTATAAATCTTGCATCTATTGTATGTGAGCTAGAATTTTGTGGTGTGAATATATCCACCGTGGCATAAATCCAATACATCACCAAAAAATCTAATACATTATACAGTGGCGGAGCCAAAAAATTTGTTCAGTGAGGGCATGAATTAAATTAAAACTTTCAACTAAAATGACGTTATGATTATTTTAATTCAATTTTTGTGATTTTTGGTTCGAAATATTATGAATTTACATATTATTGTGGTCTATTTTTAGTTTAGTTGGTATTTTTAATTTGAAATATATGTATATTATTAAACTCAAAAGTTAAATTTCAGTAGTATAATTGGAATTTTTTCTAAAACTTAAGTGTAAATGTTGTAAATTAATAGTTTCAGTGGGGACAAAGTAAGAAGAAAATTGCAAAAAAAAAAAAAAGAAGAGAGAAATATATATATATATATATATATAATTTTAGGGTTATAATACAAAGTTACCAATTAGGTCAGTGGAGGCAGCTGCCCTAGGCCCAAAATATGACTCCTTCAGTGATTCACATTGTGGTGTTACTTGTATTGAAAGTTACTGATACTAGAAAAATATTTGTAACTAAGCATTTGATAATTGCAAAATGGATGTTTATCATTAGATAGCTACTATGAAATGTGTTGCTAGAAACAATAGTAGGCACTAGATGGTGGCCCTTTTTTTTTCCTTTTCTAACTTACATTTTTTTTTTTTTTTTTTTTTTTTGGTATTATAGTAATTGTAGAAAGAAAGCCGTTAAAGTATAGATATTGCATGAAGGGTGAGGAACAGACTAGCAGTAACCTTTTCATATTAATTAAAAAAAAAAAAAAAAAACAGTCACTAGCTTTAAGAACAAACTCCCGCTTTAAGTTAGATAGCTTTAGAATTCCAAGCTCTCGTCTCCATGCAGCACCCAGAAAAAAAAAAAAAAAAAAAAAAACACTCCAGTCTTGGTTTCTTGTGCTAAATGGAACTCCTTTATGCTTTTCTTTGCACTCTCTTTGGATTTTGCTAAGCTCTAGAACCCCTTATTCACATTTTCGAAGCAAACCCCATTTTAGTTTTGGCCTCACATTCTTTTATGTTTTTTTTTTTTTTTTTTACACATAAATAATTTTTTCTCTCTATTATCCATGAAGACCCTCTTTCTCCATTTTTTTTTTTTTTTTTTTTTTTTTTTTGGAAAGAGCGAAAATTGTAACTTGGGTTTGAGATGAAGAAAGGCAAGTCTAAGGGAAGAAGGGGACTAGTCATGGTCCAAGGGCCAAATATAAACCTAGATACTTTCATTGTTGTGGGGGCTTTTGCTTTGTAGCTGTGTTAAAGCAAAAAAGAAATGAACGGACTGTTTCTTTCCCAAAATCATCCTTCACCATCACATTCAACTTTAACAGCTAAAATCACTGGGCTTCTTGAATTTTGGTATCATTTTTTGTGCACCTTATTTATCTATTTTCACAAAAGAGTATCATCTACTACCAATTCCTGGTCTGAAAAAAAAAAAAAAGACTGGTATGTATCGGTCCACAGTAAAATTTACATCTTTCTAAGTTCAAATTTAAGAAAAAAACAAAATTGTTATCATAGGTTCATTTACTAAATGATGCACTTATGGGTCATTGAATCACCTCATCTTAAAAGCCCTTATGGTCGAATTATTCGTGAGTTTTGTGCATTCTTTGTTTCTGTGTATTTTGTCAAAACAAAAATTTCTAATTGAATAAAACAGTAGTAATAGAATCTTTTATCCCGTTCATTTCACCGATTCGAGTTTAGAATTCAAGTTTTGTTACAGTAAAAAGCTCTCAGAAATAGTCACATCTAATTTTTTTTACTATAATAAAAAACTCTCACATAAAATCACATCTCAACTCGAATCAACGAACTAAATATGTTTTTTGCCTGTTTACTTGGTCAGTGAACCTTTTGCCCACCGGGTTGTTATGATTTTGAACAGCTTATCATAGAGTCAAAAATCACGTGCTGAAATTCTAGGAGTGAATTTTATCTTCAAAGTACCTTCTTGAACAAACATGACCAAAGATGCGGTTCAATCTTAGGGGGAAAAAAAAAAGAAAAAAAGAAAAAAAGAAGACAGTAGATAAAGATTACAAAAACAAATGAGCAAACTTATTAGGTAACGTTATCATTACTCCTCTTAAAAAGTGGATCTTTAGTATTTGCTAATTTCAGTTTCATAAACAAAGCCTAATGTTGAGTAACCAATCCCAAAAGGCAATGATTTTCTTTCAAATTGGTCAAAAGGGTCGACCATAAGATAAAAATTTTCACTAGAAAATAGTAAAGCAAATATCTTTTTTTGTAAATTGTGATAATACAATTATCAAAACTTGATTAGCATCATTCAACGGAAATGACCACAAGTACCTCAAGTTCTTCACCTTTTTTGCATCTTATTCCAATGACACAAACAATAAAGGGAATACCAATCATTTGTACCTTATCAAAAAAAAAGAACTTAAGTGGGGACTGGCTTTGTTCAATTAACTGCAAAGTTGGATAACATATTTTAATTGTTTCAACAAATTTGTATGATCTTGCATAATACATAGATGGACAAGCTTGTGGAGAAATGTTGGACAATCAAAGAACAAAGTACCAAAGTTTCAACAGATTTTTTGGTTTGTTCAAGACTGTTCAATGACAATACATTGCAGCAATAAAATAACCTGCATTAAACGACCATTGTGAGGAAGGAAAAGACAGTCAAGAATCGAGTAACAGGAACAACCCTATAAAGATTGATGCCTCGTGGTGTTCTTTTAGTCGGAAATTATTTAGATAGGAATTAGGATTATTTAGTGAGTCCTATAACATTCTCCTGATGACTCTTGTAATCGATCTGTTTATAAATTTTATGTGTTATGTTTCTCTGTGTTTTATCAAAAGTATTCCCACGTATTGTCGCATAATTTGATGAGTTTTTACAAGGCTTATATTATTACGAATTAGACACTATTATTCTTTATACGGAGAGCAATAAAATCATAAAAGAAAAGTAAACAAACAAAAACGCACACAAAATTTATAGTCGTTCACTTTTGTTATTCATAATACTTTTACTTTCAACTGTCACAATAATTTAAAAAAAAAATTAAAAAGAGAAATCGTATACCTCTAAAACTCACTGTGTTTTTTCTGACCTTTATTTTAGTCCTGAAAAAAATATGTCATGACAATAATTAAGCTTCACATCTTAACCTGAATTCTATTCAAAGGTTGTACATTCCAAGTCCTACCTTAATGGTCTAGTTACTTTCATTGGGTTGACAGAATCTTTGAAACAATATTGAATTGTATGAAAACATCAACCTATAACCCTATAAAGTATAAACTTTTTTTATTAGAAAAAAAAATATGATAAAAAAAAAGCCCTCCGTAAAAACTTGCATGAATTTGAATATGGCAAATTGACGCTCGAACTTGAGCTTTAAACACTTGCGAAAATAGTATAGCAGATTAGCAGTGAATGTATTCCTTTCCACATCAACGGAGTACACTAGAATGAAATATATATGAGAAAATTTCGTATTGGTATATTGTGTTTTAACATAATTGTCTTTTAGTGTCTTATGTTTTTAATAATTTTAAATTGGTACATTAACTCTTTAAAAAATCATTTTTTAGTACCTTAAGGTCATTTTTAAGATGTAAAATGTCAAATATTTACCATTTTCATTACTTTACCAAAAATTAATAAATTTAGAAAAAACTCTAAAAAATTATTTTTAATTTAAAGCATTATTTTTAGTTTTATTTTTTGAATGTTTAAAATATTTTCAGAATTTTTCTAAATTTATTATTAGTTTTTTGATTAATTAATGAGAAATGTAACTTTGACATTTTACATTCTAAAAAATGACTTAAGGTACTAAAAAATAATTTTCTCAAACGTCGAGGTACCAATTTAAAGTTATAAAAACACAAGGTATTAAAAGATAATTATACTAAAATACATGGTACTAATATGAAATTTTACCCATATATATGGGTGTGATTTTAATAGTTATTCTAATATTTATCTATCAATGAATATTATTATTTTAACGTAAGATATTTTATTCGACAATCGTAATAAATTAGGTAGTTGACCTTTATACTAATTAATGAGATTGATAACATCATTTACATCATTAAATTACTATATTTAATAGCAACCTTATATAAACGTAACTATAGAAAACTCGTCTATATATACATATATCTAATCTATGTATGTATATATATATATGGATGAGTTTTTAGTAGCTACGTTTCCATCAGTGATTACCTATTAAATATAAAAAATTAATAATGTAACGTGATAAGAATCTAAATTCATTAATTGTCATAAATTTTTTTATCAGCTGTCTAATTTATTATAACAATTAAATTAATATCTTGCCGTCAAAATATTAATAGGCATGGATAGTTAATTATTGAAATAAACATCAAAACCACACTCGTGTGTGTATACATAAATAAATAAATAAATATATATATATATATATATGCACACTCGTAATAAAGAGGTAGAGATGATATATTGTTGTTTCTGACTCAAAGAGGAAACTCCAATATATAGGCTGGAAAAGAGGTATTTGGCAGCAGTACATGATCATCAAGTATATTGTAATCCAATAATGTTGATTTAAGAAAGAAACATATAAGCACAAGTCTTATATAGTCCGCAATTATGTCAATATGTGGATCATCCTTTCTTTAAGAAGTTTCTCATGCCGCATTAGAACCATGATTATGTACAAAAACCAAAAATGAGAAACTTTTAAGTTGAAATAATCTGATAATAAACACACACATCAGAAACAGAAAATTACAACCTTCTGTTCCCTTTCTTTAAAATCTAGTAGAATAAAAAAGATCAACAATAGGCTTGAATTTTTCAAGCGCGGTTCGTCTTTTCCGCCAATAAGGATTAAGGAAAGACTCATTGAAGTGGCCCTTGATGCGGAGTCACAGCAGGGCCTGGAGCTATTCTGAACTGCAGGCCCCGATGCTGCCCTGCCTGTATCATAAATGCAACTTCGGTTGCGGCGAGTGCTGCGGCCTCCTGATCCAACATGAAAATATGCAATGCAAATTCATTAAAGAGTAAACGAGGTGCAGCATAAAGTGATTAAGAAATTCTGTGTTAACACTTAAAATTCAACGCTTTTAGCCAATAATCTAGAAATAATTTACGTGCTAATAGGTAATCAAAGAGCATTTACACAAATTCATGTTGCTGAGAAGCAGAAACAATAACAAACACAATATAATCATATATATTGTGTGTGTCTCTGTGTCCGAGTGTGCATTTGTTTAAAAAGGAAATCAGCAAGTAATCATAGCCTTTTGGTGTGATCCAATCAATTCGAAGCGAAAAGATTTTCCTTAGAAAACTAAAAGAAGAGGATTGCAGAATTGAAGAGGTTCACAATTTCAAAGTCCAATTTCATCAGGTGAAAAATATGTTCTTCCAAAAGACAGAAAAGTTGCTCAAAACATGATTCCAGCATTCTTTCACTTGGCCATTTTAGAATAAAAGATTCCATTAGGCTTTACATTTCTGACCAATCTACAGGCTACCATCACCCGAAATCACAAGTCCTAGATGACTATCATCGAAAACAAGCAGAAAGCAGCACTAACCTGTCTTTGCCGTCGACGCTGCAATATACTGATGGCCCAGGCCATAATGTAGCATGGGAGAAGAAAACCAGCAGCCCGTAGTAAGAAAAGCTGTCACAAAATCCACCAGCGATTTAGCCAAAAACTAGAGTCTACTAAGATACAAATTGTCACGAGGCACATCCATCAAGATCTAACTCACAGAGAAAAAAGCGGAAGCATCATCCTCGTCGTCAGAATCAGGAAGTGCTAAAGCATGCCTCAAGAATAGAAGACCCATCAACTGCCAAAAGATAAGAGATAAAATTTGTAAATATTTTTTATTTCTCATCAACAGAGAGTAGAAAGCCAAGAAAACATGCTGCAGAGCCAACAAGTTGGAACCAGATTAGACAAACAAGTTATGATGCTATTTAGTAGTGACCACTCAGAACTACCATGTGAAATAGGGGCTCTTGAGCCCTGAAAAAGTATGGACCAAAAAGAAAGTGAAAAAAAAAAAAGCATCATAATAGAATTCATGAAGAAAATACAGACCATCAGATAAGGCACTACTATATAATTTCTGATTAAGCAAAATAGCAATCGAAGCATCTCACAATTAGAGCAGCCGAGCGGCAAAAAGCTGCACCACCAGCATTTGTATCTGCATCATATTCAGCCTCCAGAAACTGGCGTTCTGATGCCGCCACCGCCAATAGTCGAGGGTCATGCAAATCTATAGGGGCACCAGAAATTGTCCAATCCTCACTGTAACAACAAAAAATATATAGAATATAACAGATGAGCATCTAATCTACAAGGTTTGTAAAATAGATAGAATTTGTGAAACAACAATAATTTTGGGACATGAAAGAGGAATAGGATTTGTTTTAGACTTTCAGTGCCCAACAAAGAAATGTAAGAAGTTAGACAACTCTTTTACATATAAGCTTATTATGATCCACAGACTAAATTAAGACCAATATTTCAGAACGAGATTAGCATATATAAATCTCAACTTGCCTGATGTCTATTGTAGTCTCTTCAGAGTGAGGGAGAGGTGGTGGGGCAGTATAACCAGGTTGGTAAGGCTGTCAAGAAACAAAATTTTTCATGAAAACCCAGATCGAGGTTGCAACTTATCGGGGAAAAAGTAGAGTTTTGAAAGTAAGAAAGCATATTAGCATCTGCTTTAAAAACTAAAAAAAAAAAAGATTAAAAGAAAAAAAGGCAAGGGACACGGAAGAGGATGGCTTAGGCCTTGCTCATCACATATTTAAGCCGCAACATTGTTTTCCCCACTTGTAATTCCTTCTCTAAGTTACTATCCCTTCATGTTTGTTTGAAGTTGTACTTTTCTTCATCTTTTTTTTTTAAAAAAAAAAAAGAGAAAACTACTTAACATGATATTCCAATAGAAAAGAGAGCAAGATCCATTGCAATGATGCTGCTCTAGTTTCCAATCAAAACAACGATAACTATCATTGCTCAAGATGCAGCAACTTATGTAAAGGTTCACCAAGCAGTAGGTTCAAATACAGAAATGATTCGAGCAAATTCCTTTCTCATTAGACATTATGAAAGTGAGTATTTCAGATGCTAAGATTAAATGACTTGCCTTGTTGCAAATTTCACAAGTAACATCTCCTTTCTCATTGCACCATCGCTGGACACATTTCCTATGAGCAAACTGAACCCAAAGATGGGAAATTTTAGTTATTAGCTATGATATTGTGTGTGCATTACTATTGCTTATGTATACAAAGACAATGAACTTAATATCAAACTCTAAAGTTCCGCCTCTTAGTATAAATTAAGACCAAAGAAAAATGTATCGATTCCATATTATAGGCTTCAATGCTAGAAAGACAAGAAACCCGGTTAAGCAGGGAAATTTTCCGAGGGAGGAAAAAGTAAAAAGCAAACTAACAGGTTTTGAAACACTGGAACATAGTGATCTACTTTTGAATGGAAATGGTTTTGTAAACCCTTTGCATATTCCTTCAATAAATTTCAAGGAAAAAAAAATGAAAGGACCAAAAAGAGAGACTAAAAGTTGCAATGTGTCCATTTATGCATATAAATAAAAATGAGACATAACTTTGCAAAATACCTTTAAGCTGCCACTGCAAGCACAAGGGACCTCTAGATTTTTAAGGGTGTCCTCTTCCTGACAAATACGACATTCTGATGTCTGTATCAGGGGTTCTTCTTCTCCAGGCATACCCTGTTCTTCCACACCATCAACATTGACGACACAAGTAGACACCTCAGTAGTTTTCTGAGAACAAGGGCTCCCCAAGGACGATCCCGAAGAATCACTCCCTTGCATTGATTCCAAACTTTGAGCTGTTATAAGATGGTCAGCACACAGGACCAGATGATCACCCATTCTTGCTCAAATCAAAGCTCCTGATCGCCCTTTCTAACAAGAATGCCATTAAAACTCAAACAAACTTAACATTTAGTACAATACACTTATCCCATCATATATAAATACGACACTAAAAATATTAGTTCTTTCATGATCTGAATCCAATAGAGGAATGACTGAGACCCGCTAAGTCAATCGTTGGTGAAGTTATTCCACGTTGAGGAAAACGCAAAAATATTACATTTATATCTTCATTTCACTATCATCTGCCTCAGTTTTTGCAACTAGACAGAAAGCAAAGAAATGTTTGGAAATTCTAAAGCAGGTTAATAAATAGTCACATTCATAAGGCTTCATATTTCATTTATCTTCACTTTTGTTATTTTTCCAAACCATCGGAAGGTCTAAGCTATTACTAGAAAAAGCAACATTTTAACAAAACAAGGAGCTAAAAACAATTCCCCAAATAAGACTTTTTATTGTGTGTTTAACTGAGAGTAGAGAAACAGAAAATGAAATATCGAAATTCAAATATTTCAGCCTGAAGTTTAGCCCTAAAAATTAAAAAAAAAAAAGTTTACTTCCTAAAAAAAAGAAAATAAGAATAAAATGAAAAGAAGAAGCTTCAAGGTCAAGATTTTGTACTGTTCAAGCCAGACATGAATGCCTTGGCAAGCTTAACAGAACTCAATTTTCCACTATTTTCCGTCATTTTCTCAGCTACCAAACAAAAACAAACGATATCAGGATATCCAATCGTTACCAAATTTCCCAAGTTTTTCAAAGAACGAACTTCAAACCCATCATCAGTACAATTTTTCCCAAAATAGAAAACAAAATTCTCGTATAATTCAATAGCCAATGCAAAACCCAATTCCATGATTTAAATTAAAAGTAAAAAAAATAACCCCACAAACACATTTGGAAGCCTGAAAAACAACAATGCATCAAAGCAAAAACAGAAGAACTCAAAAATCAATAAACAAAACGAAATTACCTCTCGAAAAAAGAAAAAATAAAAGAAGTTTGGAAGGAAAAGTACCTGAGAAATTGTGTGATTTTGGAAATGGAAATTCTTCTTGACTTTTGGTTTGGTTTCAGAGAAGAACTTTCAGTTCTATTTATTTTAGCTTTCTTGTTTTTTCCTTCGAAATGACAACAAAAATTTGGACAAAATTCGGGTTCGGATTTTAAATCTTAGGCTCGGTAACGTCCGTCTTAGACAAGCTCAATTTTACGCTTTATTTTTTCTTCTTAAGAAAATAAAAAAAGAAAGAGAGAGAGAGAAAGAAAGAAGAAAAGTGGGATTTAACGGTAACAGACGTTAAAGGAGAAAAAGGTCTGCTGCGCTCCGTTTTCCACACGAATGCATTCAATTCAAGGAGTTGACTCTCTTCCATCCAATGTGCTCGGCCACATCGTAAAATGAGTTGTTACCCATTTTGAAATGGGAATTTTTTTGTTCCACCGGTGAGAACAGAACCGTTCCATTAGTTTTTAATTATTACATCTGTACAAGTCTATATTAAAAATTTAAAATACGTCACATAAAACTATTTTCACTGTAAATTTGATCGTTGAAAAATTAATCTAACAGTAAAAACACGGTTTCCACTAGTGGAGCAAAATAGCTTGCTCCATTTTGTAATTGATATTGCAATTTTTTTCTCATAAAACGCACACAAGCAGAACACGCAAAAAATGATAGCCAGATCGAATAAGAATTTTCGAAACAGGTAACACCATAGTTTATAAGTAAATCTCACAATTACAAACTTTATCAAGCAATGGATTTATAGTTGATTAAGCTTTTCATTTGATAAATTTTCCTTTATAAAATTTCTATAGTGCAGTGTGAAAAAGATAATACGAGTGAGATTCTATTTTGAACCACCAAATCATTATTTATTGTTTATATTTTTATATTTTTTATTTTAATATGAGAAATATATATTGTTAATAAGAAGGGGGTTTTTCCGGTAGTCTCAGTTTTTTATTGTTGAATTTACGTAAAATCACATCAAATTAAAAAAGTATACATAACACAGATTCTGATACAAATCTGATGACTAGAAAGTAAGAGATTATTGATATTCTATTTTTACATGAAATATCAGAGAACGTCCATAATAAGAATATGTTACTGTGAATAGCTCTTTTTCTTTAGGCTACAGTTGCATTCAAAATTAACATTTATCTATGCCTATATTATATTGATTATAACGAGCTTGGAAAAAACATACAAGAATGTCTAAAAATGAAATTACAGGTGTAGATTTGTCAATGTTATGATGTTCAAGTAGTTGTAATACAATAATATTTTGTGATTGTGGGTTAAGTTAACGATGAATCTTCATTTGTCTCCAATATTGAAGTTCAAAATTGGAATCTCAATCCCACCCTAAGTTTTCTTTAAAAAAAAAAAAAAAAAAAGAGTTGGGAAGAAATTTTCTTTCTTTAAATGCTATATAGTATTTTTCAAACCTATTTGGATCTTTTTCACAAGTCTTCTACCTATTTTATTCCTATTAAATTTTCTTTAATTTCCTTTTCTAGAAGGAGCCAAAATAGACTAGGAAGACAAAAAGAATTGGAGTTTGTGTGCAAATTGCATTCAACTTGGCATGGCCTTAAGTTATTCCCCCTTTTTTTTTTTTTTTTTTTTTTTCATTTGCTTGACTTTGACTCTTATTAACTAATGACAAAAAGATAAAGTAATGGTCTATAGTAAGATGGGGGTACCAAATCTATATGCCAAGTATTTGTTGGATAATGACGTAAATATGGAGCTTTCTTCAAAATATCAAAGAGGGTTTTTAAGGTTTGGAAGGTGGGTGGCTTGGTAGATCCACTTTATGATTAAAGGGTATGACTAAGTTGAGTACTTATTTAGAGATTAGGCCCCGTTCACTTCATCGATTCGAGTTTAGAATTTGAGTTTTGCTACAGTAAAAAGCTCTCAGAAACAGTCACATCTAACTTTTTTGCTACAGTAAAAAGTTCTCACATAAAGTCACATCTCAACTCGAATTAAAAACTCGAATCAGCGAACTAAACTGGCCCTATAATTGTTTCTTCTTCACCTAATTAATCTATCAGCAAAGCAATCATTGTCAAAACAATGCATATATCATGTGTTTGGCTAGATTTATTTTTAGTCGTATAAATATCTTCATATGATGATATTATCACTGCTATGCTCCCAGTTTTGTGACCCCTAGTTGGAAGAAACATTAATTTGGTAGTGGTTGTGACCACAAGTTTACGAAAACACCATTTAGTCCAGCTCCATTCTAATTTGAGAGGGCCTTAATTTGGTAGTGTTTCTAAAAATGCTCTAATGATTTGTCAAAAAATATTCGATAAAGTCACAAATGAAGTTTTTTTTTAAAAAAAAACACATTAATAAATTTTAAAATTTATATCAGAGATGAAGTTTTTTTTTTTAAAAAAAAACACATTAATAAATTTTAAAATTTATATCAGAGTTTAATTAATGCATTTCTAATTTTCGTTCTAACACTTTTATTGCTTATAAAAAAATTTAATATTTATTTCACCTAGTAAGCTTTTTAAAAAAAAAAAAAAAGGGTTATAAATATATGCTGAAAAAAAAGGGTTATAAACATGATAGTTTCTTTTATACATTGAAATAGTGAATCAGTGGTTAACTGATTGACTTGGTGGTTAATAACTAATTGAAAGATTAATTTTTAAAAGAATTGATAGAGTAATATGGTATTAAAATAAGAGATTCAAAATCTATTATTACACTCTCCAAAATTAGCATTGTATGTTGGGTTATAATTAGCAATAAACAACAATTATTTGCACAATACAATATCGTTCTTAGTAGACGTAAACTACATATCATCTTCATTACACAAAAATTTCTAAGTAGAACCTAAAATTAATTATTGATTAAATTACTAGCCATATCAAGTTTAGAACAAAATGTAACCGTAATGAAATTTAAAGAAGAAAAGAAATTAAATGTGCGTTGTTTGTTTTAAGGGTTTTACATTATTTAAACTAGTGACGAAGATACTATGGCCCAGGGGCTAAAGCCCCCTGAATGTTTTTTATTTTTATTTTATATATATGTATATATATAAATATATAATAAGCATATAAGTAGAAATATATATAAAGCCCCCGTAAAAACTTAAAATCACTTCTTATACCAACTAAATTAAGGGAAATAGTAGAAAATAGACTAATATGAAAAGTTTAAGAAAATATAAAGATCAATTTTTAGTTATAGAAATTAATAGGCCATAACTTGTCAAGTTATGGTTTATAACCAGATAAGTTATGAATAAACTTATCAAGTTATAGTTCATAGTCAGACAAGTTATGGACAATTATGGACAATAATTTATCAAGTTATGGTTCATAACTAGTCTAATTATGGATAAAAACAGTAATTTAACATATTTATTAACTTATATAAACTATTAACTTATTAATTTTAATTCATCTCAAATCTTGATTTATTTTCTCCTTTCTCCCCCAAATTAAGAAATACTACTTGTTATTTACTACACAAGCCCAAAAGCCCAATATCCTTGAGCCCCATATCCTAGTTTTATAAGCCTTTACGTTTCACTTTCCCTTTCTTCAACTACGCAATACGCACAGTCACAGGGAGAGAGTTTGATAAAAATAAAAATAAAAATAAAAATAAAAATAAAACCACCACCTATCAACAACAATCACAAATATTTAGAATCATTGGACTCTTCTTTTCAATTGGTATTCTTATTGTTCTCATCTTAATTATTTTCTCATTTAGTTTTGTACTGTTTTTTACTACATTGTAATAGCACATAGTTCATAGAATCATAGTTGAATTTTTTAAGGGATTTGAGTATAAATAAATTGGGTTTGATTAGTGTTTTTTAACTTTTGTATTTCTTTTTTTATTTTATTTTATGATAGACTATTGGGCTTGACTAATTACTTAGCTAAATACATTATACTTGTTGACGGTTAATTTTACTCGATTAACTCTCCGGGAACACTTACAGTAAATTCTTATAGATTAATCAAGGATTATCGTTGCATGAAAAGATAAAGAAGACATAAATTTATAGTGATTCGACAAGAATTCTTTGCCTACGTCCACACGTAGATGCACTAATATTTTGTTGATTACAATCTTTCTGAAGTAGTAGTACAGTGTGTAAAAAACTTAATGAATTTCATGGCTCTATTTATAGGACTTGTACATATGAGAGACCTCCTCTACATTTTCTGAGGAGATCATCTCTTTTCCATAAATTCTGGGATTTGGCAGTTGCGTTTCCATGATTTCAGCTTCCAAGTCAGGCTAACCACCCTTACCGGTTACATGATTTCTTGACCTGAACCCTGGCAGTTGGTACAGTGTATCTTCCCTCGAGTTGACAAGATTTAGTTTGGATTGGACTGGGCTGCTCTCTCGACGTCGTGACCCTCACAACTCAGGCGGAGTCCTCAACGTGTATCCTCTTGCACAAATCCTCGCCGTCTTGAGGGCATCCTGTCATGTCCCGAAGCCGGGGTTAGTGACGTGGAGGCTCGTTTAGAAGTTAAACGCGATTAGGAGAGTAATTAAACAATTGGAAGTACACCGAATTGTAAAATATTAAAGAAATTTCCAAACGAGCCCCACATTTAGCTGAAAATAAACGACAAGAAAGTTACGGGATCGCCCGCACTTTCTGATTACAAGAGGTTAAACTTAAGCCTATAACATTGTTCAGGACTTCACCCACAGGATATGCAGTATTGTACATACATGAACATGTAAATAACATTACAGACATAACCACAGTCTAGAAATCTAAAGTTCAGAGTTTACAAAGTTTACGATTCTTACATTTATGCACAAGGATGATGAACACAATCCTCTCTTAATCGGATGGTATCAACTAACTCAGCTACTTCGCACTACTCCTCGCGTCGCCTGGGAGGGGTTTAATATTTATAAAACAAAGAAAACGTGAGCGAAATGCCCAATAGGATGTATTTTGAAATAACTTTATAAACAAGTAAATAAATTAATGAACAAGTAAATAGATAAATAAATAAATAAACATAGACATTAAGCTTCAACACAACAACCGGAACCTCACATCCTTTTTATGAAAGGAAATATAACTGAAAATTCCATATTATAGGCATCAACAAGTAATTTATCCTCTGATAAATTACTTACACAACCACAAGCATAAGCCTTATCACCACCATAGTGGCCCGGTCCGGGTTTCGGGTTATGCCCCCAAGGATACACTCTCCATATCCTATCTAGGCCATCAGTTGGTTTACCGATTCGCAAGATCTCTTATCTTAAGAAATCATTCATTAATTTTTCTGAAATAGTTCATTATAATTCCAATAGCCAAAATCAAGCTATTGTTTTTAAAATGTTTTTCTTTCGCAAACATGCCATTTCTTTAAATCATTTACAAGACCAAAACTCTTTTAAAATCAGGCTAACAAAGAAAGGGGTAAGGAATCCTACCTCTCAAGCATCAAACCTGTGACTAGCGTTGCATCATTCCGGCTTTTGCTTCCTTAAAGCCTTCAATTCGACTCCTCAGCTAGCACTGACATAAAATAACACTTTAGGATCCAATTCTCATTCCTAAAGCAATTCAATCTCAATTATACTCTTTCATTTCCTATTAGTGTGTCATAATTCATTTACCAGTTTCATAAACCATTTCATGTTTCAAATCATCATTCCAAGAGTTTTAATCTCAAAACATGGATTAAAGATGCTAATCCATTTACTCTAGATCTCCAAATGAAGCTAATTTGGGTTCTCTTCGAAAATCAGGGTCAAAACAAGGTTTTCAAGTAAAACAGGGTCAAACCCCGTGTACACCAGTCGACCGGTGACAGAGATGTGCAACACCACCGGTCGACTGATGGTGTGCAATCCGGTCAACCGCATAGGTCGACCTGGTGGAGTGCAATCCGGTCGACTGCATAGGTCGACCGGTGGGATCAGTGCAGGATGGCCAACGTGGCCAATCCGAAGAAAATCAGCATAAACCCTGCAATTTCAAGTTCAAATCCAAAACATTTCAGGGGGAAACAACCAAATCTAGGTTTTAGTTACTAAATCAAGTCTATAGAACCAAAGATCCCCAATTTCTACCATGATTTTACTCAAAATCCATGAAAATCTATTTCGAACCAAAAATAGGTTTTCTAATAAACAAATCCGAGATTCAAGAGAGGGTTTTTCAGAAATCTTACCTCAAATCCTTCTTTTGACGTTGAAAACTTCTTAAAATTCTTCTTTGGTTCAAAATCTAGTTGATTTGAAGCAAAAACGGGAGAGAGAGAGAGAGAGATAGAGAGAGAGAGAGAAAGAGAGAGAGAGAGAACAAGAGTGAAAGGGAGAGTGAGAGTGAGAAAAATGACAGAGAAGAGAGAGAGAGTGAGGTGCACGGGAAGGAAAAAGGAAAGAAGAAAAAGAAAAAGGAAAAGAGAAGGAAAAGAGAAGAAAAAGAAAAACAGGTGTCACAAAATTAAAAGACAGGTGTCAAAATATTTAAATAGACAGTCCAAAAAATATGTCTACACAAACTTCTGAATAAAATATAATTACTGAAAACATTTAAGTGCCTTGTAATTATTTAAATTTACACGTCAGAAATATTTATTGAACATAATTATTTAATTCAACCAGATTAGGCACACTAATAAATCTTAATTACCTTAATTAATCTCGTTTAATTTCTCGAGTCCTCAATGTGTATCCTCCTGCACGAATCCTCGCTTTCTTGAAGGCATCCTAGGTACGACCTTTTCCTCGACATCAGCGACTGACTCTCAACTGGGATACCTCGCCGCTTGTCAGTCAAAGGAACGATCAATTCCTCGACCGTGGTGTAACAATAATCATTATGTTCACATGTTGTTAAATAAAAAAAAAAGAATGTATTGTTGATTGTAAAGTTTTTTTTTTTTAATATTTAAGTGGCAATCGATTAAGAATGATTGAAAAGTATTTTAAAAGAAAGTTAGAAGAGTCTTCAAAGTCTTACTAGAAAAAATGATGGTGGTACTAAATCAAGTAAGGTGGATTTCAATCCTAAAAAATTAGATATTGATCATGGATTGTGAAGACCCATATTAGAGTATCATCTAAGCATTCGTGATCAAGTTCGATGAGCTTATCTTGATAATGGTTCTTGTCAATCTAAGTTCCATCAATTTCTATTAAATGCCATTGATAATGAGACTATTATGCAATATTTTTAAGGAATGAGAACTTGTCGTGGGTAGTTGTAATAAATTAATTTTGATGTAGTTATTTAGCCTCATGGCATAAATTCATGGCTTCGTCACTAGTTCAAACTATGATTCTTAAATCTGCTATAGAAATTTTCTCTCACCAAAAAGTTAATTTTCAAAAATCAGAATCATGAACCATAGTTTAAACTCATCAAGCAAACAGACCCTAAAGTTTGAATTAACTTAAAAAATATCACAAACAACAAGAATAAAAAATCAGAGTACTTTCTAAAACCAATATGACATGTATGTTCCTGGTGAAAAAGAAAATAGTTGCTTTCGTTCCTTCCTCATCTTCACTAATTTCTCGCGACACATTACTAAATTCGCTTATCATAAATCTACTTATTGTTAATAAATCAATAACAATATTATTCTGATAAATAACTCTTTCTATAGAGTTCATTAATATTCGAGCTCATTAGTGTATAGTATCTAGGGACGTTCATGGTTTGATTTGGTCCCAAGCCATTAGGTTTTTAGACCATGCTATTAATAACGGTTTCTAAAAATTCAAACTGGACTAGACCATTAGTAAGATGAGATCGAACCAAACTAGACGGTTTACTAATGGTTCGGTCTGGTTAAATCGCGATTTGAACCTTAGTACATGTTTTTTTTTTAAATTAGTAAAATTATATGTTACATAATGTATATCATCCTCTAAAATTAGCATTCTAAAAGTTACAAACAATAATAATGTGTAGTCCTAAGCAAAAAAGAGGAGTAAAAACTACGTAGTTTTTATAAAAATGCTAAAAAGTTTTCTTTTCAATTTTATTTTTTTAAATATATATTCTTAACAGTCTAATCCGGTCCAACCATTAGAAAAAATTACAAACCGGAATAGACCATTAAGAAAATGGTCTAGTCCAGTGTTAAACCGTTTTTTAACAGTTCTCACGTGAAATTAGACCATTAGATCAACGGTCTAAAAAATTAGTGGTCCGGTTTGAACCGGAGCATGCACAGCCCTAACCCTATTTATGTTTTACTGAATGGATCATTTACTATAATAATAATAATAACAATAATAATAATAATAATAATAATAATAATAATATAATTTGCTATAATATTTTTGAAAGGAAAAGAAAGGAAGGACGAAAAACGACAAGTCGTTTTGCGATAGCAAAACGATACGGCGTTACAAGTAAAATGACAGCGTAAAGGCCCAGTTTAAAAGCAAAGGGACAAAAATTCTTTAGGGTTTTGAGGTTCTCTCTCTATACTAAGCTCACTCTTCTTATTCTTCTTCTTCAATATTTTACTTTTCTGCACTCAACAATGGCGGAACAGAACGCGCCAGAACTCTCCGAGGCCAACTCGGAGCAACAGAACGCGGTCACGGAGGACATGGAGCTCGAAGCCACCGAACCCGTCCAGGAATCGAACGACAACGGAGAAACGAACTCGAAGCGCGCCAGAGAGGAAGGCGACGGCTCCAGCGAGGAAAACGACGTCTCCAGTGAGGAAAACGAAGGCGTTTCGAAGAAGCAGAAGGTCGGAGACGAGAAGTCCGTTGAAGAAGAGCGATTAGAGAAGAAACTGGCAGATGAGGAATCGGGTCGGGTCAGCTTGGGTCCGAAGAGCTTCGGGTCGTCGGTGGAGATGTTCGATTACTTTTACAAGTTTCTCCATTACTGGCCTCCAAATCTCAATGTTAACAAGGTAAGGGCTTTTGGCTCTTTCACGACTCTCAATTTTTGTTTGGTTGCTGAGAAAGTAAGGGTGGGTGATTATAAAGATGGAAACTTTTTGAAGTTGTTGTTTCGGAAAGTTAGGGATTTTTGGGGAAAAGAATGGTGAAAATTGTTTTGTTAGCGAATTCGCAATAATCGAATTTTCAGTAATTAAAGAAATTCAGCTATTTTGAATATTGATTTTACTTGTTTCCCCTATGCTTTGAATAATCAATTGTTGATTGTTCTGTTAGTAAATTCTGAACTTTTGGCCCTTATTTTCTTCAGGGTTTTTTTTTTTTTTTTTTTTTTTTTTTTTTTTTTTTTAAAAAAAAACTAAAGTTTTTGTTTTTTGCTCGTCATGCAGAGCCAGATAAAAAGATTGGTGGAGGGATCCGTGCATTTCAAGTTCGGTACCACCCAATGTTTAAGAGTAGATGCTTCTTCCTCATCCGGAATGACGAGTCGTATGATGATTTTAGCTTTAGGAAGTGTGTGGATCGCATACTGCCCCTGCCAGAAGACATGAAAGTGAAGTCCGATGCCAATAGGGCATTAGGTGGTGGTGGTGGTAATGGCAGGGGCCGCGGTGCAAGAGGTGGTGGCCGTGGCAGTTGGAGGGGAAGGAAATCGAGGAACTGAAGCATCTTCTCTAGTTCACCAAGGCTGATAGGCTGAGAGCCTGCGAGATTACCTTGGGTGATCAAAGGTTTTTTGAAGAGAAATCTCGGCTAGCTGTTTCCGTTCTCCACATCAAGTGAAAACTGCTGTAGTATGCAAAATTTTGACAGTTTGACTCTTGATTTCTTTTGCTTAACTATTAATTATAATTGTATGTTGCTGAATTTCTTTTTTTGATGGTTGTCTTCTATAAGCTATAGTTACGTAATCATTCTCTTGATTCTGGCATAATAGCTATTTTCAGAGAGGGAGATTAACCATATTTGATTTCTGTCTAAACTTTTTGTCTCAAACTATGTCCAAGCCCGATAGGGAGCCCTAAATCCGTCCCTGTCCTGTAACCCATCACGGGTTAAATTTTAACTCGTTTTAGATTGGGCCCCATTGGGTAAATGGGTTCATGAGTCAAATTGCCAATACAAAATATGCCACAATATTTAGCTAAAATTTAAGGGAGTTGACAGAGTTGTGGTTCGTCAAGCACAGTTTCCCTCTGTCACAGCTCACTGTGTGATTGGTCTCTCTTCAAATTGCTGTCAAACCTTTCGTTGCATCTCAAAAGAATTAGAATACCTAAAGCACTCATCATTATCCGTGTAAACAAGCTTTATACTCGCTTAATGTCTATTCAGAAGCACCTAAGACTAGAAATATTCTATTGTTAATTCTGCTAAAGTTGTAAAAGTCTTTAAATGGTGTGGGGTGTTTTTTATTGGTTGGACACCTTTTCAGAGAGGAATTCGTGGTTATCAGGGTGAAGAAGGTGTAGATTTGACCTAGATCACCTTAACACATGCACAAAACTCAAAGGAAGCTCAAAGGAAGCGCAAACTTGGTTTTCAAATTTAGCAAATGTGCTTGTGTCACACCTTGGTTGCCCTTGGAAATTTTCAAAAATACCACCAATAAACTAAAACTATATACTATTTCATTTTAGCCATTGTTGTTAATTTATCTTATGCTACTAATAACCTGCAGGTTATTTTTCATAACGTCTAGGTTATCATTTGTAACCTGCAGGTTATTACTTTGTATCTTGTAGGTTATCACTGCGTATCTTGCAAGTTGTGTTCATAGGATCCAATCAATCGGTCGGTTTTATCACTGCATATCCTACAAGTTGTGTTCCTAGGATCCAATCAACCGATCAAACCAACCGATCCAATCCAAGTTAATCTACTTTCAACGGATAACCGACCTCAATTGGATTATATTGAGTGTAATTTCTTCAAAAATCGATTTAGATTGGATTGAATGTTAATTTTACTTCCAAAATACCTACCAATCCAAATTTTTATATATTTTATAAAAAAAATGGATTATGTTTTCTTTCTATTATGGATCATCATCAAAGAGAATAATAGACGTGCACATTTAGATTATATTATTAGACTATGTTTTTTTTTCTATGTTGCAAATAGGTTAAATATGAAAATAAAAATTAAAAAATTGTACAAAAAACTCAAGCCCAAAACCAATTGGTCCAATCCAATTCAAACTGATCTCAATTGGATTGGATAATACACTAGTAATTGATTTGGATTAGGTGGAATTTCTAAAAACCGACCTTTGATTGGATTTGATTTTATGACTAAAATAGTTTGGATTGGATTGGATGAACACCCCTACGTAGTGGCATTAAAATTTTGTGTAATTGCATAAATAATAGAGTTGGAAAAAACAATAGTTAAACTTGAAAAAACAATAATAGAGTTTCTCTTTTTTATACATGGTGATTAAACTTGTAAACTTTTCACAAGTCACAACCTCACACCAAAAGGGCTTAGGCCATGTTAGCTAATGAAGTAAATAACAAATTTTAAAAACTATTTGAAGTAAATAATAATAAATTAAAATTTTAAGTGATAAAAAATCATTTTGGTTTAAGAGAGGATTTAAATCACTGTTGTAAATTTCGGAGTTGAGTGTGACTAGAAGAATTGTTTTTGTGATTGATGATGTTGGCCCTGGCTGGGTTGGGATGTCAAATTAATAACCCCCAAACCCGTTCTATGAGTAAAAAGCTCATCCCTAGCTATTAGTCTCATCCTCTGCTATTTGGGGTGTAACACAACAACATGAAGGGAAAAAAAAGTTATCCTATTAGCTCAGAGCTTGCAGAGTGAAGACCTTTAAAATGAGAAGATCTTAGCCCCTGTTTGGTTCACTAATTCATACTAGAAACTAGAATCTAGATTTTTCTATCCAAGTAATTATTTTTGTGATTGATGATGTTGGCCCCGACTGGGTTGGGATGTCAAATTAATAACCCCCAAACCCGTTCTATGAGTAAAAAGCTCATCCCTAGATATTAGTCTCATCCTCTGCTATTTGGGGTGTAACACAACAACAAGAAGGGAAAAAAAAGTTATCCTATTAGCTCAGAGCTTGCAGAGTGAAGACCTTTAAAATGAGAAGATCTTAGCCCCTGGTTCACTAATTCATACTAGAAACTAGAATCTAGATTTTTCTATCCAAGTGGTGAACTAAATTCAAATCCGCGTCTAATAAACGCTCAGTCCGGATTTTATTAACTATTACAAACCATTTTTAAACACTAATGGTATGTTTACCTACGCGTAATTGGAATGAGCATGAATTTGAGTGGGCAAGATTCAGAGTGAGTAGGATTCGGAGTGAGGAATCAGAGTCAGAATAAGCTGTTTACTTAGTGATAGGATTCAATATCGGAGTCATTCTAAATCTCATTCATACGTTTACTTACACCCAAAATCAGAATAAAAAAGTGTAAAAATACTAATATACCCTTTAAATCAATTTGATATTTTCAATTTAAAAAATATATTGTGTACTTATTATATTAAAATTAATCATAATTAAAATATTTAGTGTAATAATGGGGTACTAAAATAATAAATATAAATTGTACAACTATTTAAAATATAAAAATAAATTTTAAAAAAAGTTAAATAAAATAAATAAAAATAAAAATAGTGTTAAAAAATAAAATATATTACTAATTTATTAAAAAATAAAGTACATATTTATTATATTAAAGTTAACAATAATTATGCTAATATTATAATATTAGGCAAATAAAATAATAAATATATGTTGCATTTATTATTTTTTAAATTTTATTTTT